GCATATTGAGTATTCATGTAGAGTTTGGTCCAGATCCATCATTGTTTGAGTCCACAGTGATCTCTGGATGTAGGTGAACTACAACTCCCAAACTCAAGGTCAATGCCCACCAAACCCTTCTAGTGTTTTCTGTTGGTCATGGGAGTCATGTATGCCACGTTTGGTTCAATTCCATCATTGGTGGAGTTCAGAATGCTCTTTGATTGTAGGTGAACTATAAATCCCAGCAACTACAACTCCTAAATGTCAAGATTCTATTTTCCCCAAACTCCAATAGTGTTCACATTTGGGCATATTGAGTATTCGTGTAGTTTGGTCCAGATCCATCATTGTTTGAGTCCACAGTGATCTCTGGATGTAGGTGAACTACAACTCCAAAACCAAAGGACACTGCCCACCAAAACTCTTCCAGTATTTTCTGTTGGTCATGGGAGAACTGTGTGCCAAGTTTGGTTCAATTCCATCGTTGGTGGGGTTCAGAATGCTCTTTGATTGTAGGTGAACTATAAATCCCAGCAACTACAACTCCCAAATGACAAAATCAATTTTTTTGAGTGAAGGACATACATTGGGTTGTTAGGTGTCTTGTGTCCAAATTTGGCATCAATTCGTCCAGTGGTTTTTGAGTTCTGTTAATCCCACAGACGAACATTACATTTTTATTTATATAGATTACTAGCTGTACCCGCCACACTTTGCTGTGGCCAACTTTCCCTCTTTCTCTCCTTACCCTCCTTCCTTCACTCCCTCTTTCTTCTTCCTTCCTTCCTTCCTTCCTTCCTTCCTTCCTTCCTTCCTTCCCTTCCTTCCTTCCTTCCTTCCTTCCTTCTCTTTCCTTCTCTTCTTCCTTCCTTCCTTACCTCTTTCCTTCCTTCCCCTTTCTTTCTCTTTTGCTGTCTCTCTTTTCTTCCTTCTCTCTTTCCTTCTTTCCTTCCTCCCCCTTTTTCTTTCCCTCCCTCTTTCTCTCCTTTCTTCCTTCTCTACCTCTTTCCTTCCTTCCTTTGCTTTTTACTTCCATCCTTCCTTCTTTCCTTCCCTCTCCTTTCTCTCCTTTCTTCCTTCTCTACCTCTTTCCTTCCTTCCTTTGCTTTTTACTTCCATCCTTCCTTCTTTCCTTCCCTCTCCTTTCTCTCCTTTCTTCCTTCTCTACCTCTTTCCTTCCTTCCTTTGCTTTTTACTTCCATCCTTCCTTCTTTCCTTCCCTCTCCTTTCTCTCCTTTCTTCCTTCTCTACCTCTTTCCTTCCTTCCTTTGCTTTTTACTTCCATCCTTCCTTCTTTCCTTCCCTCTCCTTTCTCTCCTCTATTCCTTCTCTATCTCTTTCCTTTCCTCCCTCCTTTTTCTCTTCTGCTTTCTCTTCTTTCTTCCTTCTCTACCTCTTTCCTTCATTCCTTCACTTTTTGCTTCCATCCTTCCTTCTTTCCTTCCCTCTCCTTTCTTCCTTCTCTATCTCTTTCCTCCCTTCCCTCCTTTTTCTCTTCTGCTTTCTCTTCTTTCTTCCTTCTCTACCTCTTTCCTTCCTTCCTTCGCTTTTGGCTTCCATCCTTCCTTCTTTCCTTCCCTCTCCTTTCTCTCCTTTCTTCCTTCTCTACCTCTTTCCTTCCTTCCCCTTTTTCTTTTCTTTCCATTTTTTCTTCCTTCTCTACCTCTTTCCTTCCTTCCTTCGCTTTTTGCTTCCATCCTTCCTTCTTTCCTTCCCTCTCCTTTCTCTCCTTTCTTCCTTCTCTATCTCTTTCCTTTCCTCCCTCCTTTTTCTCTTCTGCTTTCTCTCCTTTCTTCCTTCTCTACCTCTTTCCTTCCTTCCTTCGCTTTTGGCTTCCATCCTTCCTTCTTTCCTTCCCTCTCCTTTCTCTCCTTTCTTCCTTCTCTATCTCTTTCCTCCCTTCCCTCCTTTTTCTCTTCTGCTTTCTTTCCTTTCTTCCTTCTCCACCTCTTTCCTTCCTTCCTTCTCTCTTTCCTTCCATACTTCCTTCTCCTTTTTCTTCTTTCTTTCCCTCCCTCCCTCTTTCTTTTCTTTCTTCCTCCCCTTCTTTGCTCCCTCTTTCTTCCTTTTTTCTGTCTTGTCGTTTAGCTTTTCGTCATTTATCTTTTTGGAGCTTTTTAAGTCTCTTCTGCTGTGTTTTTCAGTGTTTTTATGAGTGAAGGACATGCATTGGGTTGTTAGGTGTCTTGTGTCCAAATTGGGTGCCAATTTGTCCAGTGGTTTTTGAGTTCTGTTAATCCCACAAACGAACATTACCTTTTTATTTATGTAAATTATATTGTATTACATCATAATATTATAAATATTATATAACTTTGCAAAACCCAAGGAAGTCCTTCCAGGTTGTCCTCGTCTCACAGGCGTTTGTGGGCTGGCCAGTTGATTTCCCCGGAGGGAGCCACCCATTATTGCTCGGGGAGGGGTCTGAAGGTGAGCGGGTGGGCTGGCAAAGAGGGGCTTCTCTCCCACGGCTCAGGGCCCGGCCTCCTTCTCTTCCTCCGCAGAGGGAAAAGTTTGTGAAACTGCTGGACCAGCTGCACAATTCCTTGAGGATTGACCTCTCCAAGTACAGGGTGAGCACCAAAGTCTAGGAGGGCCATTGGGGGGGGGGGGGGCAGGTGATCAAGACCCCCTTCCTTTGCCCTCCTCAAGGGCCGTTGGTGGATCTGAGCCTCAGTTGGGGTGATTCACCCATAAATATGACATGCATAGGAATGACTGGGTTGTTGTACATTTTTTCGGGCTATACGGCCATGGTCTAGAGGCATTCTCTCCTGACGTTTCGCCTGCATCTATGGCAAGCATCCTCAGAGGGAGTGAGGTCTGTTGGAAACTAGGAAAGAGGGTTTATATATCTGTGGAATGGCCAGGGTGGGACTGTGCTGTCACACGCTGGGCCTGTAATAATTGTCTTTTGAACAGGACGCGCACTTTGTGCCCAGCGGGAAACCAGGGTGCCTCGATAGAGAGGCCCGAAGGATTTTCCTCTGGAAGAGTCTTTAGAGGCTTGAAAGGTTTAACAAAGTCATTTATTGTTGAACAAATTAAACAATTACTTCTCCAATCTTCAACGACAATCATACAAATGACTGGTGGCTTCCTTAATCTTGTCCACAAGGGACAGGCAACTGGCTTTGAGAACTATTTCTTTGCTTTTGAAAGGAAAAGCCTTTTTTAACCTCTCCCAGGCAATCGATCATCTAGGCTTTGCTGATGTGGGTCCTACTACCGGTTCCAAACTACTTCTTGGGTGCCGAGTAGACCTACCATTCAAGGCTTTGTAGATTCTCCAGCTGGAGTTCTTTGGGTCTGTAAAACTGTTTTCTTCCGAATGCTGTAAGGCTGAGAGGCTGTAAGTTCCCAGCCAGAGCTTTGGGACTATGTCTCCCTGGAAGCTGTTTCCCCAGAAGCTGTAGGAAATGAAGCTTTTCTGCAGGTGGAGCTGGTCCACGTCCTGTAGCTTAATTTCCCAGGGTGGGAAACAATCTGGGACATCTAATCACTTCCCAACAAAAGATTGCTCCAGGCACTGCCAGGCCATTAAATGCTAATCAAGGTGGTCAGCTGAAACATTCACACCTAGCTCCAGCAGGCAAGAGTCCTTTGTCCCACCCTGGACATCATTCCACAGATATGTAAACCCAATTTTCCTAGTTCCAACAGACCTCACTACCTCTGAGGATGCTTGCCATAGATGCAGGTGAAACGTCAGGAGAGAATGCCTCTAGAACATGGCCATATAGCCCGAAAAAACCTACAACAACCCAGTGATTCCTTCGACAATGCATAGGAATGTGGGGAGAGGAATCCCTCAACTTAATCCTGTCTCCAGTCTAGTTCCTCATTGAGGACTGGAGACTTGCTGACACAAGAGACTTGTGCAGTCCAGGTGTGAAACCCAACAAGGGCAAAGGAGCAGCATTTGCTGCCTTTTCCACCTCCCCTCTCCCCATATTGAGACCCTAATGCACAGAGATTGGGGAATTGGTGGGGGGGGGTGGTCCTGCCTGGTGAGCTTCTTCTCACCTTATCCGCATCCAGGAAAACTTCCCCGCCAGCAGCCCGGAGCGGCTCCAGGACCTGAAGTCCACCGTCGATCTGCTGACAAGCATCACGTTCTTCCGCTTGAAGGCAAGTATTGCGGTGGCGAAGGAAGGGGAAGCCCAGCCTTGCAGTGGCCCCTCTCCCTCAGAGTCCATCTCCCTCTGGGACCCTGGGAACTGAGTATCAGCCATTGGTTGAGGTTCTGGGTTTGAGCCTGCCACTTTTGGACTCTTGCTTGCTGGGGTGTTCCAGCGAGTGTCTCTGTAGATCTTAGAAAACTATGTCTTGATTTAAGTCGTTGACGTGCTGGCTGATACCCAAACAGGGGATGAGCTGGAGATGTCTCTGCCTTGGTCCTTTCCCCATTGGCTGCTACTTCCCGGCGGATGTCAGGTGGTGCAATACCGGCTAAGCAGTGTAATTTCTCCAGTGGTGTAGGGCACAGACACCCTGTGATAATGCGGCATGTCTCATTAAGAGCCACATCCACTGCTTGAGTGTGGTGAGATGTGTTCCACACTGGGCATGCGTACTCAGCAGCAGAGTAGCATAGCGCAAGGGTGGATGTCTTCACTGTGTCTGGTTGTGATCCCCAGGTTGTGCCAGTCAGCTTTTGTATGATATTGTTTCTAGCACCCACTTTTTGCTTGATGTTCAGGCAGTGCTTCTTGTAGGTCAGAGCACGGTCCAGAGTGACTCCTACCAGGTATTTGGGTGCGCTGCAATGCTCCAGTGGGATTCCTTCCCAGGTAATCCTCAGAGCTCGGGATGCTTGTCTGTTCTTAAGGTGAAAGGCACATGTCTGTGTTTTAGATGGGTTGGGGATCAGTTGGTTTTCCCTGTAATAGGCAGTAGAGCACCTAGAGCTTCAGAGAACTTCTGTTCCACCATCTCAAAGCTCCCTGCTTGAGCAGTAATGGCACGATCATCAGCATAGATGAAACTCTCTGTCCCTTCTGGCAGTGGCTGGTCATTTGTGTAGATGTTGAACATGGATGGAGCAAGCACGCTCCCCTGAGGCAGGCCGTTCTTCTGTTTCCGCCATCTGCTTCTCTGGCCCTGGAACTCAACAAAAAAGCTCCTGTTTTGTACCAGGTTTCCTATGAGGCGGGTGAGGTTGTTGTCCTTTGTGATATTATATATATGATATATAGGATTAGGGATCGGCTGGTTTTCCCTGTAAGAGGCAGTAAGAGCACCTAGATCTTCGGAGAGCTTCTGTACAACCATCTCAAAGCTCCCTGCTTGAGCGGTGATGGCATGATCATCAGCATAGATGGAGCTCTCTGTCCCTTCTGGCAGTGGCTGGTCATTTGTGTAGATGTTGAACATGGATGGAGCAAGCACGCTCCCCTGAGGCAGGCCGTTCTTCTGTTTCCGCCATCTGCTTCTCTGGCCCTGGAACTCAACAAAAAAGCTCCTGTTTTGTAGCAGGTTTCCTAGATGAAGTTCTCTGTCCCTTCATTCATTTGCTGCAAATCTGGGAATGAGTGAGTGAGGCTTCCACTGCTGCTCTGTGATGTTTTTCCCCCTTTCCTAGTTGAGTGCCTTCCTCCTCTTCCTCTCCCAATCCTCAGGTGCTGGAGCTGCAGAGCCCCCCGAGGGCCAGCGCCGTGGTCAAGGACTGCGTCCGCGCCTGCCTGGACTCCACCTACAAGTACATCTTTGACAACTGCTACGAACTCTACGCTCAGCTCATGGACCAGGTGAGTGAGGCCTCCTCATCCATTTGCCTTGGGCAAAGCCCTCACAAGTCCCTTCTTCCTCTGGCAGCCTCAGGGCGCCCGAGCAAGCTCCTCCCAGGCATGTTCTTGCTTCTGGGCATCGTTGGAGCCCCTCTAGACACGACTCCAGGACAAAGATGTGCCTGGCGGTTCCGTGCCTACTGTTTAATCCAGCCCCCGTTGGGTAATCCGGGCTGTTAGGCTCAAAATGGGGGGTTCCTCAGGGGGCCATTCTCTCTCCTCTGTTGTTCTCGAGGCAGAAAAGTATGTTTATTTCCAGCTGGGACTCTAGTGAGGAGTTGTATCCAAAAGCAACCAGAGTGAGAATAAAGGCATTGACTTTGCCTTTTATACCTCTTCAAATGCAGGCAAACAAAGAAACATGCTTCTCTCTCTCTCTTGTGGGGTTCCTCCTCAGGGGGCCATTCTCTCCCCTCTGTTGTTTAACATCTCTATGCGACCACTTGCTCAGCTGGTTCAAGGTTTTGGGCTGGAGTGTGACCAGTACGCTGATGACACTCAGCTGGTGCTGAAGATGGAAGGCCGACCGGACTCAAGTGGCAGTCGAGGGGCATTTACAGAGGCGCCTCTGCGCCCCTGGCAAAAAAAAGTGTTCTGCGACCGCTTACTTCGCGTAATGGATGAGCCGCCCCTGTACCCGATTATTTCCATCAGTGCCTCAAGGCCGTTACTGGATGGCTGCGTGCCAGCAGGTTGAGGGTGAATCCAGCAAAGACGGAGATCCTATGGCTGGGTCGACCGGGCAGTGGGGACATCCAGCTGCCTACCCTGGATGGCGAGGCGCTACGTCCGTCCTCGTTGGTCAAGAGCCTGGGAGTCCTTTTGGACCCTCTGCTGAGGATGGAGGCCCAGGTCTCTCTCCACCGTGAGCAGAACCACCTTCTTTCACCTGCGGCAGGCTAGACGGCTGGCCCCCTCCCTGTCCAGGGACGACCTAGCTACGGTGATCCAGGCCACGGTCATCTCAAGACTGGACTACTGTAACGCCCTCTACATTGGCCTTCCTCTGTCGGTGATCCGGAAGCTCAAGTTGGTACAAAATGCAGCTGCTCGGCTTCTTGCGGGAATTCCGATGAGATGCCACATCACCCCAATCTGACTGCAGCTGCATTGGTTACCCATTGAGCACCGGATCACTTTCAAAGGGATGGGACTCACCTTGAAGGCCTTGCATGGTCTGGGGCCGATGGACCTGAGGGACCGCCTCACCCCCTCCCAACCCCAGAGATCCCTCCGTTCTGAGGACCAAGATCTATTGGAAGTCCCCAGTGTCAAGACCTTGCGTCTAACAGCAACCAGACGCAGAGCCTTCACAGCAGTGGCACCATCGCTCTGGAATACTCTGCCACCCGAAGTCTGTGCCTTGCGGGACTTACCAGCTTTCCGCACGGCATGTAAGACATACCTGTTTCGACAGGCCTTTGAGCTTTGATATTGCTGTTTTTAAATTCTTTTTAAATTGTGTTAGATTTTAGCCTGTTCTTGTAAGGGGAGTGGCGGCATAGAAGTTTGAATAATAAATAAATAAATAAATAAATAAATAAAACCTCAATTGGGGTGATTCCACCAAAATTATAGCAGAATACCAGAAGTAAACTTCATAACCAGCTGGCCCCCCTTCATAACTTCATTACATGTGGTGAAACTGGGGTAAACTTCTGTTCTTAGGATAGCACAGGATTGCAGAGTCAGAACTTTAGGTTCAAAAGTATTTATTGAAGTAAAAGAAATACATTTTTGATGGAAAAGGTCTTGGAGCTATCTAGTTTACTAAGTCTCATCTTCTAAGAAAGGTAAAAGGGTAAAAAGTAAAAAAAAATCCATGCAGCTACATTTTGCCTAGAGAGAGGCAAAATGTGCATCCTCATAGGCAGAAAGAAAAGCAGAAGAGACTGGAGAAATACATTCTCGATAGAAAAGGTCTTGGAACTAACTAGCTTACTAAATCTCATCTTCTAAGAAAGGTAAAAAGTAAAAAAAAAATCCATGCAGCTACATTTTGCCTAGAGAGAGGCAAAATGTGCCTCCTCATAGGTAGAAAGAAAAGCAGAAGAGACTGGAGAAATACATTCTTGATAGAAAAGGTCTTGGAACTAACTAGCTTACTAAATCTCATCTTCTAAGAAAGGTAAAAAGTCAAAAAATCTATGCAGCTACATTTTGCCTAGAGAGAGGCAAAATGTGCATCCCCATAGGCAGAAAGAAAAGCAGAAGAGACTGGAGAAATACATTTTCTTGGAACTAACTGGCTTATTAAATCCCATCTTCTAAGAAAGGTAAAAAGTCAAAGAATCTATGCAGCTACATTTTGCCTAGAGAGAGGCAAAATGTGTATCCTCATAGGCAGAAAGAAAAGCAGAAGAGACTGGAGAAATACAGTCTCTTGGAACTAACTGGCTTATTAAATCCCATCTTCTAAGAAAGGTAAAAAGTCAAAAAATCCATGCAGCTACATTTTGTCTAGAGAGAGGCAAAATGTGCATCCCCATAGGCAGAAAGAAAAGCAGAAGAGACTGGAGAAATACATTTTCTTGGAACTAACTGGCTTATTAAATCCCATCTTCTAAGAAAGGTAAAATGTAAAAAGTCAAATATCCATGCAGCTACATTTTGCCTAGAGAGAGGCAAAATGTGCATCTTCATAGGCAGAAAGAAAAGCAGAAGAGACTGGAGAAATACATTCTCGATAGAAAAGGTCTTGGAACAAACTAGCTTACTAAATCCCATCTTCTAAGAAAGGTAAAAAGTCAAAAAATCCATGCAGCTACATTTTGCCTAGAGAGAGGCAAAATGTGCATCCTCATAGGCAGAAAGAAAAGCAGAAGAGACTGGAGAAATACATTCTTGATAGAAAAGGTTTTGGAACTAACTGGCTTACTAAATCCCATCTTCTAAGAAAGATAAAAAGTAAAAAAAAATCCATGCAGCTACATTTTGCTTAGAGAGAGGCAAAATGTGCATCCTCATAGGCAGAAAGAAAAGCAGAAGAGAATGGAGAAATACATTCTTGATAGAAAAGGTCTTGGAACCAACTGGCTTACTAAATCTCATCTTCTAAGAAAGGTGAAAAGTCAAAAAAATCCATGCAGCTACATTTTGCCTAGAGAGAGGCAAAGCCCTTTAGGGAAACATGCATAGGAATTTGGAGGAGGGGGTCTATTTACTCATTGAGGTCTGGAAGCTTGATGACACAAGAGATTTGTGCAGTCCAGGGATGAAACCCAAGAGCCTTAGCCCTGTCGCCTTCCCTCCTTGCCGCCCTCCTGAAGGCAGAGATAGCTCCAGCCTGGCAGCCAAAATGGCAAACCTGACAACGGATCAGCTTTTCCGCGCACTTATCGCTTGCCCGGAGCTCCTTTTTTTATAGCTTGTTTGTTTTCCTCCGGCTTAATCTGTGGGTGACATTTGGACGCCTTCCTCCATCACCTCCTCCTCCGCCGTATGCTCCCGTTGACACAAAATGAGGTTGGAACGAGAGAGCGTGTACTCAGCTCCTTGGCCCTGGTTTTGCACGAGGAAAATGCTCCTTCTGCTCCGAAAAGAGCCTGACAAGCTGGAGAGGAGATGTGCCAGTGTCACCCATGGTGGCTCCTGCTGCTTTTGGGGAGGGAAGGAAGGAAGGAAAGCCCCTCCCTCCACCCCAGTCAGCTTTCGTATGATGTTGTTTCTAGCACCCACTTTTTGCTTGATGTTCAGGCAGTGCTTCTTGTAAGTCAGGGCACGGTCCAGAGAGACCAGAGTGGCTGGTCATTTGTGTAGTCTGTTCAGCGCCTTCCAAGTCGCCCCGTCTTCTGTGTGCCCAGGGGGGAGTCTCTCATTTGGTATCAGCCATGGGTTTGAGCCTGCCACTTTTGGACTCTCGCTTGCTGAGGTGTTCCAGCGAGTGTTTCTGTAGATCTTAGAAAACTATGTCTTGATTTAAGTCGTTGACGTGCTGTCTGATACCCAAAAAGGGGATGAGCTGGAGATGTCTCTGCCTTGGTCCTTTCACTATTGGCTGCTACTTCCCGGCAGATGTCAGGTGGTGCAATACCGGCTAAGCAGTGTAATTTCTCCAGTGGTGTAGGGCGCAGACACCCGTGATAATGCGGCATGTCTCATTAAGAGCCACATCCACTGTCTTAGCGTGGTGAGATGTGTTCCACACTGGGCATGCATACTCAGCAGCAGAGTAGCAAAGCGCAAGGGCAGATGTCTTCACTGTGTCTGGTTGTGATCCCCAGGTTGTG